GGCAAATACACGGAAGAAATGTTGGCTAGACCATCAGAAGTGAAGGCTGCAGGAAGTGCTATCTGGATGTATTTTGAAGATCCAGCTGATAAAGCTTGATGACAGATTACATGCAAAAAGAGGAGAAGGAAAGAGATTAAAGATGACTTAACTGAAGGAAGAATGGAAGGTTGGGAGAACGTTCATGCATATGAGAGAGACTATGCCTATGAAGAAGACAAGAGGATCCAGGATGGGGAGCGCGGTGTGCAAGGCAATAAAACGAAACCCCGTATCCCAGTGCTGGCTGCATGCATGCATGAATGGAGAAGCAGGACAAGCCACTAAGCGCAACTGCAAACCTTGCGATTCTAGTCACCTTCCTGTTCTTGGGATAAAATACTGACAGCCCCAACATAAAGGAGGAGAGGTTTACTTGGTTCAGTTTCCAGGGGGTTCAGTTCATGGTTGGCTGTCACCATGGCAGAAACGGCATGTCAGAAAGGCATGATGGAAGATATCTGCTCAACTTGTGGTAGCCAGGGAGTAGAAAGAGAAGGAGGAGCCCAGGAAAAATACACCCTCCAGGTCATGTCTCCAGGGACTGCTTTCCACCTGGCCCATAATTAACAGCTATGAACTTACATGATCCCAGGCAATCCAGTGATGAGTTTAGCACCCCAATATCAATCACCATCCAACAGTCCTGCCTTTAAACACAAATGATTTTAAATGTGAGCCATAAAGCCCCTTAAAGAATAGGAAGGAGGAAAAGAAGAAGGTAGGCATATAAGTAATTCCTCTTCATTGGTCAAAACTAAGTTTAGAATATAGTTCCATGTCTAAATTTTCAGGTATTTTTACTTTAATTACACTACCACCAGCTAAGCAGTTAGAAAAAGAATCTCTATTTACAATTATACCATGTCTTTCCCTCTGTGCTGAGCCCTGTATTAATGTACCACTGACTAGCTCATTTTAATAACATGGTTTATATTTCTATAACTATGACTTTTCTTCCAGACTTTAGTCTTGTTAAGTGTTGTTCCATAATTCCTTCTTGTAAGTATGAATTTTCTATTTCTGACGTCTAAGTACTCTGTAGCTCTCTATTTCTCAACCTAAGAATTGTACAGTATTTTTGAACTGTGATATACTTCTACACAGCCTAGCTTCAGATGTTTGTTTTTTCCTCCTGAATCTCGGGGCTAAGAACAAGGCTGTGGTGTAGGATACATTAATTCACCAAATACAGACACCAGAGTCCTAGAGCCAGGCACTTGTACATGAAGAAAGCAAAGCTCTTTTCCCTGAAGATTATAATACTCGAGGGAGAAACATAATCCCAGTGTAATGTGATTACTGTCTGACAGAAGCTGCACCTGAGTCAGGAGCAGTGAGTGGGAAGCACAACTGTACACAACGGAGGAGAATGTGACGGAAGGCCTGTGTAGGCTCACTTCAGCTGGCAAGGAGAGCTGGCAGGGAAAGAGAAACAGAGTGACTTCTAAAACCTTAAGTGTTATTTCCAACCTCTGTTAGTCTTGTCCTATGAGATTCCCTACAAAGGTAACTAATTTTCTCAGAATTCAGTTCATTCAACTTAATCAGTACAAAACTTAGCCAATGTAAAAAAATTACTGTTCATAGTTTGGATAAAAGAGTAAAACTAAAGGCTTGAAATTCCAAGAAGCAAAAAAAAAAAAAAAAAAAAAAGAGTTCTATTTACTACCAACTCTATGCAAACTCATCCAAGATCTAAAATACCTACCGCTAAAGTATACCATTTTACAATGTAACAGAAATGTGAGTTGGCTCAGAAACATCCTGTTATGGTTGAATGTGTCCCTCTAACATTCCAATGTTGCTGGTGTGACAGTGTTAAGGGTAGGGCTTTGTGGAGGTAATGAAGCCATCAGGATTTCTCCCTCCTAAATAGGATTATGGCCCTCATAAAAGAGGATTTATACAGCACTTGGCTACTTTGCTCCTCCACCTTCCGCCATTCGAGGACACAGCATTTCTCCTGCAGAGCACATGGGGACCAGCTGCCCCTCTGGAAGTAGAGTGGAGCCCTGATCAGACCACAAACCTGCCAGTCCCTGATCTTGGACTTTCTGGCCTCCAGAACTGTGAAAAAACACCTTTCTGTTCTTTAGAAACAACCCAATCTCATGTGTTTTGCTATACTAACACAAGCAGACTAAGACAGGCTGCATCACAACAGACCAGAGACTGGGTGCTTAATTATGAGGAGTTTACCTTCTACTGGTTCCGAGCTGTGGAAGCCCCAGACCCAGTGTCAAGAGGGCTGGTTTCCAGCCACCTCGCTGTGTGTACACAGGCTTGTCTGAGAGGCTCCTGGGTGTCCTCCTCTTCAGTAAGGACATCAGTCCCATCAGCTGGGGCTCCACCCTCACCACCTCCTCTAAACCTAAGGCCTGGCAAAGTGCCCCACTCCAAACTCAGACTACACAGCAAGCCTCAAATGGGCCTTCTCATCCATTGTTTTGTGATCTGGATTACTCAGTTTATGATGATGAAACACCAAAACTGTCTTGACAATACTGTGAAACATACCAAGTTTTTATGAAAATTTAAACTGTATCTTTTAACATTTTACAAATGCAAATCTGTCAATAATTTAAAATTAATTATTGCAAATTTCAAATGAACTTTAGTTTTATTTGCTGTAAAAATCTACATGTTGTCAATAGCACCTTTAGAAATTATGAAATTATATATATTTATTTTCACATATGATAGTGGGATACAGCTATATACTCTAGCCTTAATTATAGGAAATACAACTATAAAGCTTAGCTTTATTGTTTTATAAATGAACCAGTAAAGTTCATTTTAGTGAAATGAGCATACACTTTTCATAAATTAAAATAAATCTCACATGGTAAAGTACCCATTTTCAAAATTAATTTAATTACATGCTTAAAGTTTAATTACATTTAATTAAGCATTTAAGTTTAATATGAAATAAATGAATTATCAGTTAACTAGTATGAAATGAAATACTGTCTTGATAATTAAAATCTATAAATTTCCCATTCTGTACAAAACTTCTAGTTTTCAAAAAACACTCAGAAAATATGTTTTAGAGACCCCTGCATCCAGGCTTCTGGCAACCCAGGGGGTCATTCCCCGCACCTGCTGGTCAGGCTGTACCCTGAATTCAGGGTGGCCGCAGGCCTCTGGGGTACAGGTTCTGGGCACCTGGGTTTAGGCAACCAGGGAGCGTTCTTTGGCCTTTCTGATCTTAAGCTTCCTATCAAATGAGAGAATGCCACTTCTTCTGAGGCTTGGGGGAAAATTAACTATGTTCAAGGTGAAAAGCCTGGAATGGTAACCCACCTGCAGTAGGTATGCAAGCAACTACAGTTAATCTCTTCCTTGGCTTAGTTGTTGGATGCTAAAATAAAAACCTTGTACTTTTTGTCCTAAGAAAAGTTCTATAGCCCCAAACACATTTCCTAAATGGCACACGTTCCCTTCCCGGGGTGCTGGGCCAGCCCGGGTCCTTGCTCTGCCCAAGGGTCCTCCTTTCCCCGCCAGCCACCAGCCTGGTCACGCTACCTTTCCCGGAGCTGAGACTGGGGGAGCCAGCTCTGCATTGGCCCTGCCACCACTGCGTGAGGAGTTTGGGAAAAGCTGTTTGCGTGTACTTCCCACGGCAGCAGGTAAGCCTGGTTCACTGTGCGGCGGCAGTTAGGTGCTAGCATAGGCAGTGCAATGGTGTAAAATTAACCACAACTGCCCACGTGGTAGACGAGGCAGCATTTCCCCTGACCCTCAGCTCCAATTTTGTCACACGAGGATATTTTCACTGAATCTGAGGATCTTCTCATGATTTGCAGGCGGGGGAACTTTTAGCATCGGAACACAGCTTTTCCTTCCTCCGCCAGGGCTCTCTTCACAATGCAGAAGGTGAAAGCGAGAGGCGCCCAACCTTTGAAGCCCCAAGCCGAGAGAGAGCCTGGACAGCCTAACCCTGGCTCAGTGAGGAAGTAGTGGAGCCCCGAACCGCTGCTGTCAGCCAACAGCTCTGGAGAGGTGCAGCCTGCCTCTTCAGGGTAAACGCGGGGTTCCAGGGTGCAGCTGGCAGCTTCTCCTGCTGGGAGGACAGGAGCGGGGCTCTGAGAGGTGCCTCCAGACGCAGACCCCAACGCAGAGGAGAAAGGCTGCAGGAGCACAATGCCTAAGAACCCGGGGAGGGTCTGCACGGAGCCCTCGGCCTACTTTCCGAGAGGACACTGCGGTTTTCCAGGCTCAGTTCACAACTTCCTGTGCACTAAATCTTCATGTAATAACTCATTTCACCTCGAAAGTAATAGTTTTATAGTGCTAAAGATAACCAAAGCTACAACTGTATTCTACAGCTTACTGTAACAGGAATTGAAATTAAATATTAACATTCTATAAATTATTCAGCACCAAGTCCTGTATTTGTCAGTGCCCCATTTTACTGAAGTTATTAACAGGATAAATGGATTTGGGTTGTTTTAACATTTAAACCCTTCCTTGTAAAATCCAAACTCTAAATCCTCTCCTCACCTAAAACTATACAGACTGTTTTATTTACAGCATAACTAAACAGTCTTGGGAAAGCATGCACTTACTGTTCCAGAGTGCACCTTCCCTGCTATTATTGTCAAGAAGCACTCGGTCAGTATTTGCGTGTTGAAGGACGCTGACTGAGAACTGGTTCATAGCTTTTGGGAAAGTGAATCCAGAGGCCATAAATAGCCTGGTATCTAGAGTTTTCAGGCTGTAAATTAAGGCAACCGTGCTCTAGCAGTTCAGGACCACAACAAGCAGGAGAACACCAAGGTGAGGGCGAGGAGGAGGCAACAACAGGCACAGAATTAATATGAGGTCTCTGTATAATTATGACTACACATTGTCATAATGAGGCTGACTATCAGGGTACGTGAGCTTAGATATGTACTCTTTCAAAAGCTGTGGGAAACACGCATTCTAACCAGAATCCACATTTAAACCAAACTTACCCAGGTTCCAGGGCGAGCGGTGAAGGCATGTTGTCTGGAAGAAAGAAGCCGTGCCATTTTGCAGTCTGCAGGAGCTCCTGTGGGATCTTTTTTGATACATCATAATAATGACCAAATCTTGAAGACAACACTGGTCCAACCTGCTGAAACCATCCACATTGGTTATTTAAGAAAATTATTTTTCACTACAATTTCATCTTATAGTCAGCAAAACAATGACATATACTTATGTACCTAAATACATAAATGTTTATTGCCAAATTTAATAAGCATTAAGACTTTTTACTATACTGTATATCTTAAAGAGTAATTTAAGACTAATAAAGAATATATAATTCTTACTTAATGTTTAAGATCCCAGGTTGTTTTGCTTTGTTTTTTTGGTACCGAGGATTGAACTCATGACCTCGCACTTGCCAGGCAGGCACTTAACACCGCTGAGCTAAATCCCTGGCCCAAAAAAAAATTAAATAGGCAATTACTAGGAACTAAATGAAAACTAATCAAAATTAACTCACTAGTGAGAGGACCACCCCCAAAGCCAGATATTTAAATTACTGAGTATAATTTTAAAATAAAATGTTCACAAGATAAAGCACATGTATGTTCAGTATTTCTTACAGGCTTTCAAAGTAAGCTTAGGGAGTTCAAGACCAGTCTGAACTACATAGTGAGACCCTGTGTCAAAAAAAAAAAAAAAAAAAAAATCAAATCAAATTAAGCTTAGGGCATAAAAGGCACTATATTACTCTGAGCAAGGACACTGTACTTGGTAGAGCAGCACAATGTATATTAACTATACAGACCAATTGACATTTGGCAGACTCAACTAGTTTATTGATAATTCCTGATTTGTAGTTCTATTAATAACTTCTCTAGCAAATTATCTTTTTCCTAAGAAACTGTAATACCTACTAACAGTGTATTTATATAGGATATAAAATTCTAATTATTTTATTGCTTTGAATGGGCTCTGGTCTGTGTTTTCATGCCACACATTAGAAAAAAAATACACACACATGTTTATGCACACACACACACACACACACACACACACACACACTTCTCTACCCAAAGTTGAAATGTTAACAAATTCCACCTGGACATAGCTTCTAGTAAAAGCTCTGACCTAATCTTATATAATTTCCATTGTCCTAAATGCTAAAAAAGAGGCAAATTTCAAAACATTGAAAAAAAACTAGATAATCTCTTCAGAAACAGAAGAACTATATATGGTGAATTCTTATCTTACATCTTACTAAATGAGTTTTTAAACTTAGATAAAAACAAAAATTTGCTTGATATTAGATATCTGCATTCAACACTCAAAAATTTCTATTTGTAAATTAAATGGCTATACCCATCAAATTATATAGTAAAATGGGATAAAGTACTTCTACAAGAAGCATTTTCTCGGATTTGACATTTATTTTCCTAATAAAATAACTGTTCATCTCTCCATAAGATGCTATTCATTTTCATTAATGCAAGAGATCAGTTGGCTTCCATCTAATCTTTCCAATGTGATATTACATACAGAGCTATAGATCCCAAAGTATGATTTATCCACCTACTATGAAAGTACTGACAAATAAATTATATGCCTGAAAATACATTTCATATAAACAGGGTGCAAAGTTTTTAAATGTAGTTATTAGTCTAAAACAAGGTTTTAGCATTAGTCCTAAACAAGGTCTGTTCTTTGGCCTATAATCTATTCCTTATCCGGATTACGGTTCAGAATGTTTTCACTGCAGTCTCTGCCGGGAGCTCATCTTTTTATTGTGTGAGCCCAAGCCCCCTCAACGTTTTAGAAAGGCCTTGACTAACTGAACTTTGATCTGATGTCTTCATTGAGAAAAACACCAGGTCGCCCATTTCAGATGCAAATCCCCCAGAGGCCCAATAGAATTTAGTAAAGACAGCAAAAAGAGAAGAAACCAGAAGTTTCCAGGATCCTCTTTGAGAACCCTGGGGCACACTGGTGTCCCTAATCCACGCAGCAGCATGGATTACGGTAGGTGATAACCTTTCCTGATTCAAAGGCTAAGCAGACTGCCTACAAACTGGGTGGAGACTCGGATTTGGCCATAATGAAACACCATGCAATAAAAGCCTAGTCTGCGTCAGAGCCTTCTCAAAGAGCCTCAATGTAGCCCATTCCCAGGCCTGGCAGGGAAGCTTGCAAAAGCCTACCTGAATCAAACAAGCATGAATAATCTATTTTAGCAGACTGGCCATGGGGAGTGGGAAAGAAAGAGAGACTTTCTACTTCTTTTAAGTTTGAGTTAATAAATTTATTACTGGGCTGAAGGTTCTCGAAGCCCTGTCGAAGCCCTGTGCACTCACAGAAATATGCTAAATTGCCAAGAAGAGAAGTATGCTTTTTAAGTCGCCGTCTCTACTAATGTTTCTAATTACAATATTAATGTGATTGAAATCTCAGATTTGGGATGAATCAAGGCAGAAAATTGATTTCATGCTGTGACAGTTTACATATATATGACACAAATAATTCATTAAAATGTAAAAATGAAATTGGGAGCTTTTCTCATTATAATTGTTATCAAATTATTTAGAAATTAAGATTCAACATGACAGTTTAACAGTATTCACAAGGTAGACATAAAATTTTGTTACTACTTAAAGGCTAATTTTTCAACTATAAATGAAAACAAATATATTCTTACATGAAAAACAAGTTCGCAGGTTTTCTTCTACCCAACACACATGGTATTAACATACAATCAAGATATCAGAAACATAGAAATCTTTTGAGGTCCAAAACTATAAAACAAACACTCAAACATTTTCTCTAAAAAAGACAGCTAAATGTTACAAATAATAATAAGTATTCATAAAATACTATGAGCAACTTCATAAAAAACATGCATTAAAAATATCAAACCATCACCAATAACCAGTTTACGTAGTCTATTAAGAACATGTTACTTTAGTTTTGTATTTTAGGAACTTCTATTTCACACCCATAAATTACCTTTTAATTTTGCCTCCCATTGAGGAATACAATGGAATAGTAAAAATTTACTGTTCTAAAAGAAAATGAACTCTTACAGAGGTAGAAAAGGAAAACAGAGCAATAAAAAATAACATACCCTCTCCTCAGGATGTTAGTTAGAAGTGAACCTTTCAAAAGAACTGTGTCACAAGTAAACAGCCTAAAGAAGACCTTTTCTTACCATTTGTCCACATTTCTTGATTCTCAGTAGGGCATAAAGGAAAGCAAGAATCCAAAGAGCCGCTAAACCACTTTTAGTCTCAGCTCAGTCAGCCAAACTGGAGCCAGTAATTATTTCATTAGGCTGTTGTGAGAATCTAGTGCAATACTGGCAGTGGACATTCTGTAATTGTAAGGCACTGTTGAAATGCTATTAATTATTATGATCATGTCATGATTCACCAGAGGATCAGAAGATCCATCACTGTCCTTTGTAATTAATTGTCTTATGGAAAAATGACATTTCTTGGTCATCTATACATGCAGACGTCTGTCACAAGAATGTGGGGCTGAACCTTAAGACAGAAAGCCAAAGTGTAATAAGAATTTAATATCATGAAGACCCAACACTGCCACGAAATTTGCAGCCACAGCAGGCCATGGTAACAGAGCACCACCACACTGTAGAAGTTAAATTTCAGAACACACCATAGGTTATGGCGTGTTGATCAGACAGCAGAGAAGAGTCAGGGTCACTCTGGAAAGAGAATCAGCATCACATGGCCAGGGCAAGGAGCTTTTTAAGACTGCAGACACGCCAAGCTAGAAGACTCATGGATTTATTTAACTATGCTACTGGTTTACATGTGCACATTTTTGCCTTTTTTACATCTCCTCAGTGGGAATACAACTGTATTCTCAAGACCTGGAGACAGTTTACACCAAAGGGCAACATATCTGGGCTTAGCCTACTTAATTAAACTATAATCATGTTAATTGCAAGTAAAGTAATAGAAAACCCAGCTTTTGCTTTTGTTTGGTTTTGTTATAAACTGGAATTAGCAGGGCTATTATGTTGTCCAACGGCTCAGCATTTGTCTAGCATGCATGAGGCTCTAGGTCTGATCCCCATCACCACAAACTAAACTGGAAATCACAGTGAGTAGAAATCTCAAAGTAGATGATGATGAGTGAGGACCAAAGCTATCAGTTTTCGTAAAATATTACACGTCAAATCAGCACAGAGCTGAGGATGTATCTCAGCAGTACAGCACCTGCTTAACATGTGCAAAGCCTAGGGTCTGATCCACAGCACTGCAAACAATAAAATAAAATAATCACAAAGGGCAAATATACATGCTGGAGACATTTCCAAGAAAAACAAAAAAGCCAAAAGATACTGCTCTCTTTATCAATAGTACTCACTTATTGATAAAATAAACTTAAGCTTGACCATTAAATATAAAGTCAGATAAGCTACTATTTTATTTGTGTTATTTATTAATGCAACTCAACTCAGTTTAATCTTTAACTTCCATTTGTACAATCCATTCATTCATACAACCAAGTGATATTGAGCACTCACTAAATGCCAGTAAAATGAAGCAGTTAAAATCTTTTTATCTTCCCGATAAAAAGATTTTTATTTTATCTCTATATCTTTAATTTTATCTTTTTATCTTCTCCTTCTAGTGGAAGGAGACAGATGACAAATAAGAAAATATATCATCACTAGCTGCCATGGCCTTCCATGGCTTGAAAGAAAACAAAGCATGGCATGAGATGACAGGACAGAGTGAGGGAAGCCACCCTGGTGCAGTGACATACCAGCGAACACGTGGGAAGACAGGAGCCTAAGTGATTCAAAGGTCACTGTAAAAAGCACACAAAAAAAGCCTTCAAGCTTTAGACTTTGAAACTGATCACTGAGCATCACTTGCTGATATTCAGCCTTATGGAAGATAACTCCAGAAGTAAGGCACGAACGGGGCACTATATTCTCAACGACAGAATGGAATTAGTACTCTCGGATACTCGAGTGTTATCCAAAGTTGTAAATTGCTTTAGGAGATTTCATAGCAAGCAGTGAGAGTGAAGGCTAAAGACTTTGGAGGACTACTTGGGCGACTCTCCTGGAATAAACAGCCATCGCCTCCACTGGAGCTGAACCTGCCCTGTCTGCATGTACATCATGATATGTACGGAGCAGGCCGGGCCATTTCCTCTTACCTTCAGTCTGCTCTAACCAGTGTAAATAGGGCTGGCTGAGGAGCTGATGCGTAATCTTTGAAGCCAGGCGACAGTGGCTGTTTCCCAGCCCTGTGACTCCCACCAAAACATGGTTGAGCCAAGGGAGATGAAGAGCCACTGCTCCAGGGCTGTCAACTGGGTTTGATCCTTGAGTAAAGGGGCTTTGACTTCCCAGGACAGAAAAATTTGCACATCAGAACTGAATCACTGGCTCCCAAAACATCAAATGCTACCTCAACTGTGTTATGCAGATTGGTCTTCCTGCACATCCTTTTCTCTGCATATTGCAGAGGTGCTTTAAGCTTCCTACTAGCCCAGCTCACAGGACTCATGTACTTCCCACCATTCTCAGTCACTCATCAAGCCACTCCCTTCTTCACAAATTAGGAAAAGTCAGGCCCTGGGTCAAGGCCTTTGCTCTATGAACCTTCATCCTGGCTGGACTCTGGACCCTTGGCTCCTGATAATTATAAATATGTCTTGGTGTCTCTATTCTTGCCATGGGTTACACTGAAAGTAGCAGATTAGAATTAACTCGCTAAAATTCCAGCAATTTTTTTTCCATGGGATTTCTAGTATAAACTTCCTGGACCACAACAAGGATGAGAAAGGGCTCTCTATAACCAACTAAAGGACCAGCCCTGAGATGGGAGTGAAAGAGAAGCTGAGGAAACACATGCTATAGAATCAAAACCTGCAGGCCTGGGGAGCGTAGGAAGACCTACGTGTCTCTGACTTTTAAAAGCAGTTTAAAAGGGCGGGGGACATGGCACAAGGCAGAGTGCTTGCCCAGCACTGCTGAGGGCTGGGTGAGTACAGTGCTGTGGAAAAGCAGCAGCAATGACAACCGGCAAACAGAGCCCTGGCAAAGTCCCCACCTTCAGCAGACAGACTTAACTGAACTAAAGCCCTGCGGGCTTCCAGAGCTTTCCCTCATTTCCATCTCTTTGACAGGTGTGGTAACTGGGTTTCAAAGCCACCACTTAACTGAATACTTACAGGGAGCCACATGGATATAAACAGCTTATCCATTCCTTTATGGTTGATGGCAACCCTGGAATAAAGGATTCTATATGGAAATTAGGGAAGAAATGGAAAAATCTATTTTGATAAAAAATTATCACTTTATTTGTAAGGAATATGCCATCTCAATAAAACACTGTAAGCGAAATACCTGATTCTTTAAACAGGCAAATAGCCTTCGTATTGCATTTACAGAACACCAGGCGCACAGCCAGTCTAGGAAAGGACAATCAGTGCACTTGCAAGGCTGATACACAGCCTGTGGTGACTTGCCTCCATCTTGGGTAATAACTGGTACCGCCAAGCTATTTTCATCTTCATGTGAGAGTCTGGTGTCTTATCATTACATCCATCTTCATCAAATTCCTTTTTGTAACTATCATCAAGTAATGGTGCAGGGAGTTCCTAAGAAAACAGAATAAAACATTACTGAGCATCTGTGATAACATGACAACTTTTCAAATCACAATATTAGCAAATCTACAACTTTCCAATGTATTAAAAATTGATGCCTTAATATATATTTAAGCACAACTCGATGACAATATAGACATTTCTAAAACAGAAAAAGGGTATAATGTCAATGAGAGACTTAATACATTAGTAATGAACTAGAATTTGAAACTATTTGGGTTTCTATATTACAAAAATCAATTGCTATTCCAGTAAAAGGCCAAGCACATTTTTCAGAAAATGTATTCTAAAGCAAGTCTGGAATTAGCATTTACATATTACATATAAATGTTATTTTTCTCACAGGGTAAAAATAAAGCACACATACAATCTATTTACTGGTTTGTAATTCTAGAATTCAAAAAGCTCATTCACTGAAATAATGGGTAAAGTAACAAGAACAAAAGACACTCATTTTACTGATAGTGAATATTAGTTTTGCACCTGTAAACTTGTATCTCTTCCTTAACACTGAAAACAGAATTTAAAATCTGATTAAATAAAGAGACACAGAATCCCAATTTACTAATTTAGGAAGGTGACCTAAATGACTAACTTTTGTTTTTTGTAGATAGGTACCATAGAATTTTTAAAAAACAAAACAAATTTTCTAAAGAAGAAAAATATATGAAATAGTTTTTATTAGACTAAGAAAGATGATTTAGGGCTTTGGTAACCATAATCTCATAAACAGCAATTTTCACTTTTCAAGATTAATTTTATGTTTAGACTCATATTGCTGAAAAATAAATTCTCATATATTTTGGTCACTTCCTGAAAGACCTCAGAGTGAGTTCATGTTATTTTTTGTTTTTTGTTTTTTTGAGACAGAGTCTCTAGACTGGCCCTGAGCTCACTATGAAGGCCAGGTTGGCCTCGAAGTCTTCCTCTCCTCCCCGTGCTGGGGTTATAGGCATGAACCACCACACGCAGGGCATTCCTGTTGTCATTCACACCAGTATTAGAATCTAGTTCTATCATTTAAGCTCTGAATCATTCTGACTAAATCAGTAGTATCTTAGAATATAAAGTAATTTATCTTTCTTACGGAAATAAAATAAACACCTGTAAATTTACATAGTGTAATACAGCACCATGTTATGGGCCAAACCCACAACCAGAATGCCTGACTTTCCATGAGTAGCCATGCCTGGGTTTCCCGCCCCACCTAACAGAACTTTCTATCTCCATTCATCTCTGAAAAATAATGCCTACCTTGGTACGCTGCCATAAGAAGGAAATGTTAAAACTGTAAAATGCCCATAAAGGTACTTGCTGCATACTAAGCATCCAATAAATGTTGGACCATAAGAAGTTAATCAAAAATTTTTAAAAAAGAAGTTAATCAAATCCTTTTACTCTGAATCATAAGTTTTAAGTCATTAGCATTACGGAACAGTTAGTACAAAATACTAGACTCATGTATTTTTCAAATGCAGGCACATGTAATAATAGTTATGACAAAGGTTATCCAAACTAAAAATTAACTTTTCAACAGGGATGGGAAAAAAATCTACTTTAAAATTTATATCACATTATTTCCCACTGTTTAAAATATGCAAATTAAAAGAAAACATTGCTAAATTAATGCATACAGAAATGAATAGAATAAAAAATAGTGCTATCCAGGTACGGTGATGCACGCCTGTAGTCCTAGCTCCTTGAGAGGCTGAGGCAGGAGGATTCCAAGTTTGAGGCTAGCCTGGGCAACTCAGAGATCCCCTGCCAAAATAAAACTGAGAAAGGGGCATGGATGTAGCTCTGTAGTAGAGCCCTTGGCAACCATATATTCAATCCCTGCCACCACACACACACACATACACACACAACCCTAAGATAAAATAGTATAGTAATACTAATATAGTAACACATCTAAATGAGATTTTTCCATTTATATTATTATGTCAGTGCGTATTCCTACAGTACACATTTCATCAGTTTAAAACCTTTTCATGTGTTATAAAAATTATACTGATCTTAATGTCAGTATTGCTGAAACAGACAATTTTTATAAAGCTACAGGTGAAAACATTCAAAAGATACACAGAAACTACAATCCAACAATTAAGATCCATTTAATGTATGTTTTCTTAAATTCAGTGGGTTTTTTCTTTTTAGCATATTCAGAATTATGTCAGTTATCACCACTGAACTGCAGAAAATTTTCCCGACTCTGCAAAGAAACCCCACACCCATTTAATACTTCCCAGGCCCTTGCCTATGGCCACCACTAATCTGCTTTTCTCTTGATGAATTCGGCCCCTTCGAACATTTTATGTAAGTGGGATCAGAGAGTATGTGACTGCTTTTTACTTCGTTTACACAGCATGCTTCCACCACGTACAGATGCTGTAACGTGTACCAGTGCTCCCTTCTTTTCCCTGTCACACAGTGTCCTACTGCGTAGGTCCACATTTTGTTCATCTCACTGCCGACGGACATAGGAACAGTTTCCATCTTTTGGCTACTATGCCTAACACCTCAGTGCACATCCACGTACTTTTTTTGGTATGTCTTTTCAATTCTTTTGGGTCTCAGGAAGCAGAATTGCCTGTCACAGGGTAGCTCTATGTTAACATGTTAAAGAAGCATCAAAATGTTTTCTATAATGGCTATATTGTTCTATGGTCTGACCAACAAAGCAGGAGGATTCCAGTTTTTTAACCTCCTTGCCAATGCTTAACCTTCTACTTTTTAAAAACAGCAACCACCTTACTAGGCATGGAGTGGAGTGGATCTCAGCGTAACTGGGCTTTCCATTCGTCAAATGACAGTGATACAGAGGTACTTTCCATGGGCAGATTTGGCTGCTGTGTCTTTCTTGGATAGTACCGCATGGCGCCCTCTCCCTGCCTTTAAGTCCAGTTGTTTCCTTTCATGCCGCGGCCTGCATCACGCTGGTGTACTAGACATTACCAGATGCACAGCTAGCAAATAACACTTCTGCTCTCCCTGGGTTGTTCTTTCACGCTCAAGGCAATACCCCCTCAGGCACAAAAGTTTTTAATTTGATGAAGCCCAATCAATTTGTTCTTTCTTCTGGGGTTTTTGCTTTTGGTGCCATACAGAAAAACTGTTTGCCTAATTCATGGTTGGGAAGATGTATACCTATGTTTTCTTTATGAATCTTAGTTCTTACATTTAGGTCTGTGATGCATTCCAGCTGCACTTCCATATAGAGTGTGAGGCAACAGTTGTAACTTTTTATAAGACTACATCATCAGTCATGTTGAAATTATTACTTACACAGTCTATTTACTGTGAGCTAACTTCTGGCCAGGTTTGGAGGTTGTAACGGTGAATACACTAATTAACAGTAAGATGGGCACACAGAGCGCTCACCCTGGGCCAGACCCTTCCTCAGTGCTCCAGACAGGTCAGCGCCCTGTCCACAGCAAGCCTGCCTATGGCAAGCCCGGGAAGCAGCAGCTCAGCCTGTCCACTAGTTACCTGCCCCAGGCCACGAAATATTCAAGATGAATCTGGGCCACAGGGATGCCAGTTCCTATGTGTATGTGTTCTTTTTTGTTGAGACAGGGTCTCACCATGCAGTTCAGGTAGCCTTCAACTCACAATATACCACTGGCTGGCCTCAAAGGGGGCGATCCTCCTACCTCAGCTTCCGGAGTGCTGGGATTCCACGTATGCACCACCATGCCCAGTTCTGTGTGTCTGTGTGTGGTTGGTTGTTTGTTTTTGTCTTTCTGGGAGAGGGTCTCACTATGCAGTTCAGGCTGACCTTGAGCTCATTTTGTAGCCCAGACTGGATTCGAATTCACACATAGTCCTCCTCCCTCATCCTTCTAAGGTGCATGTATATTTTTAACTACAGACTACACTGCCTCTACTAGAAGTTTTCACTGTATCTGGGGTTGGAGGCACAGTTAACAGTTATCAAACAGATCACATGACAATAAATGCAAACATCTGGGAAAGGCAAGAAGACACAAGCTCTATTTTTATAAATGTAATCAAGGACTGTCTCTTTGATAAGGTCAAAAGTGATAGAGACACTTCACTATAAAAATCATCCTACAATTAACTGGAAATCTATATACCACTACAATTACTCCATATACATGGTATATCACCTACATTTAGATTAATAATCTTTTAGTAGAATAGCTATGCTAATCTTCAGAACATGATAGATTAGAAAGAACACTAATATTTAGAGATTCAGGTATATGAATCCTGAAGACCTCTAATTTAATCTCACAATTTTTAACTTCAGCACTTCTGCTTTGCTGTTTTTTTTTTGTTTTGTTGTTCTTGTTTTTTGTTATTCTGTCATTGTTTTATTTTTGTCAAATTCAAACTTCCTATTAACATTTGAAATTTCTATAGATTTGTATATGTAACTACCATGTGTATAATTTTGTTTCTGAAAGAAGGAAATACTTTAATAAAATATTACAAAAATTTAAATTTAAATAATTTAGATCTAGCTTGCAAAATCTATTTTTTCTATATGTAACTAAAATCTATTTTTTCTTTATGTAACTGTGAGAAAACTTTTTTCCTTAATTGCCTTTTTCTGCATTTAATAAAAGATTCTAGATATCAATTAAAACATCTCATAGTATGAGTTAGTTTTACTAATCTATTATGCATATTACATATATTATAGTTTATATTTTAATTAATGATATGTGATAATTTCCACATTTATTCATTAGACTTTCAATGGCTGTAAAGTACTATGATATCCATCAAAATTAATTTTAGTCCTTTGTTGAACCTTTGTGTTGTCTGCAACTTAAAAATGTAACAACAAACACAGTTATTTATAACAAATGCCTTCTGCATCTCAAACTATTTGTATGAGATACAGAAAGCATACAGAAGACAACAAATAAAATTAACAGTAGTTTCTACAATCTAGGTTTAAAAAAATTAACAAACATATACAAAACAAACTAGTAATTTTAGCAAGCAAGAAGCAACGTGCG